AGCCAGATAAATCTGTAGACACATAGTGAATCTTTTCTTCTACCTTCTCCATTCCTCACGAAGACTGTCTCCACCTACCTCTTTTTCTATTCTGCAGCCACAAATATCAGCTTCTGTTCACTCTTCATGCGTGTAACTGGTTCATCTTCCATTGCTGTTGTTCTGTGCCATTACGTCCCCTATGGCTCATAGAGACTCTACGGAGATAGAAGAAAAGGAATACTTGGAAAAATTCAAGTGTTAAAATTCCTGTCTTGTTTTGGGGATATATTTGAAAAAGAAATTGAGATGATGTAAAGAGAAAATTAAGGAACCTTATAATTATCTTCAACTTTCTTTACCTTATGACTTTTACCTATGACTTTTTAGGAAAAAAATTAATTTGTTTTTCTCACATAATTGAGAGAACTTGGAAAATTTAAAACTGCTTCTTCTTTTTGGTCTACAAAGACAGAGAAATAGACTTACAAGAGTTTCTCTTAAGGCAAAAATCTATTGCCGGTTCTCTTAATATAATGCATTTTTTAGTTAAGGAATTTGACTTGCATTTTTTATTTTACTGATCAAAACATGTCTATCGTCTACCTCTTCAAATCATTGTTGAAATGGAGTCAACTCTTCCTTTTTCGGTCTCCAGGCATTCTTCCGTCTGAGTTCAATGGAAGGTCACTTCTTCCAGGAAGTCTCTCATTTCCCTTCGAGTTGTGTGGTGGTCTGTCATCTTTTCGCGGTTTTGATGTGGTTGATCTGTAAGAGCCACAACATTCCACCCAGGACTCATTTATCTAGGAAGAAATAAAGAGCCTGCTGGCACCCATTTGCCTTGTTTTTCCATGAGTTATGAAAGAGCTAGTTACTTTTAATTGTGCCCGCATCACATTACAAAAGTACGCTTTTGGAAGGTCATTCTGACACGTACAGAGTTGGAGGTAGCATTGAAATAAGACCACTTCTCATCTGTTCATCCATCTGCCCATGCATTTAGATATTTTCGGTCTGTCCATCTGTTCACCTGTTCATCTTTTAGGTTCAATTCCTCAGCCATATGTAGTTCGATGTATAAATGCTTAGATATTTTTCTGGTTAATCCCCCCTCCCCAATGAATCATATTGAGGGTGGGGAAGGCAAATTTCTAAACCACTCAAAACTCAAGACTGATAATCACTGCTTTTGAAACACTCAATCTGACTCTAGTCTCAGGTAAAAATGACCTTGTTTTGTTACATTTCTTGCAAAGCTGACTGAATGATATGTAGAAACCATGTCTTATCTTCTTTTAGAAAAAAATCTAAATTTACATGAAATATTGGTAATGTTTTATGGTATGTGTGTGTGCAAAGTGTAAATATAATAAACTCTGAGAAACAGAAAACTTAATTTGAACAATAAGCTATTTCAAAACTCATTAATTATGTAAGGAAAGATCAGTTGGGGCCAACCAAATCAGATGTTTAGGAATTCTGCTTTGTCCCTGCAGGATTTAGATTTTCACTTCTCACCTTTCTTCTTTAAACAAAATTGCATGTTTGGCTGTTGCTGTCCATGGCATGATGAATGCCCATTGTGGGGTCTAGTGGTAGCAAACTCATCTGTGTGTTGTGGTGGTGAATTTAGAGCAGTTCTTTCTGGCAGCAACACTCTTGAAATGTCTGTTCTGACGAGATTTCTGTTCCCTGCCTGAGAGAAAGCCTCTCTCTGTTCCTTGATGACAGTTTGAGGGTGACAATAACCAACCAATTCTCCCAGTATGACTTAGAGTTTGTGGTTTGACGGAGAGAAAGAAAACAGTCTTTCCCCGTAGTTGAGGTTTTGAAAGCTTGGGGCAGGAAAAGGGCATTGAGATAGACACTGGTCTTTTTGAAAATTGTCTTCACCAAAGGAAATCTATCTTCTCAAGGTATAAGATATACAAGTACTCCTGAAGCTGCTATGATTGTACTTACTCTTTAAGAAATAGGAATCGTCTCTGCATATGGGTAGATTTTAGTTTTTTAGACAAACTACATAAACTTCTTAATCCTATGAGTATTTCACAGAGTAAATGTAAACTGTTAGGAAACAAAATATTGAGCACGTCAAGCACCCAGAATTCGATTTCCCCCCAGCTTTCATTTAGGGAGCTCTGGTGGCCTAGAGGTAAGAAGCTACACTGCAGTCTCAAAGGCACATGGTTCGAACCCACGGAGGATCTCCTCCCGTGTGATTAAACTGCCTCTGAAAACTCGCTGGAAGCTCAGCTATGAGTTAGTTTTAACTCAGCAGCTCCCATCAATAAGAAGCTTGCATTTGACATCTGAATTTTCAGGCATCTTGAGAATGTTAGTCACATTTCTCTAGGTATGTCTGTGTCTAGCTTGTGGAAGTGACCTTGGCTCCTTATAAAAAAATCCCCAAAAAACCCATTGTTACCAGCTGACAGAAAAGATTTAAGATATTAAAAAAGGTCTCACAAGATGGGGATGACTTAAATATTTCCTTTAATTTAGTGTAGAAGTAATGTGTGGAACTGTGAGATTTTAGTATTTATGTGAAAGAAAATTTTGCCGTTTCTTCTCTGTGGGCAGAAAGTGTAAATTAGAAAATCATTTTATAGGAGTTGAAATCAGAAAATGCTTGCTGAGAAAGCAACAGAAATAGACAAGTAGCAGGTATGACTGGGTTTGCAATGTCATAACTTGAATGTCTAAGTTTTATGGTTAATCATTAGAAGGCTTTTACCAATGTTTATCAACTTTTAAAGTGTCAAACCAACTTAAACCTTCACCTAAAATTGCTTGTAGTGGTCCTGGTGAGAAGCTAGGCAATATTGAATCAAGTTACTTTGTCTAGAGTTACAGTGTTCACCACCGGAATCACTAGTTACTAGGGGCTATTTAAATGAGAACGAATTAAAATTTAGAACTCAGTTCTTCTATTTGATTCATGTTAAACAGTCAGTAGCTCCATGTATCTTGTGGTTACCCTATTTAAGCTGGTCTAGAGGTTTAAGAAGGGATTTCTGATAGCCTACTGGGTAAGGAGTTGTGTTGTCAATCCAAAGGCAAGAAGTTCAAATGGACCAGTGGATTTGAACCAATAGATTTTTCCCACCATGGGAGAAAGATAGGCAATCTCCTCCCATGGAAACACCACCTCTGAAATGTGCTGGAGGGTCAGCTGTGAGTCCGTTCCCACTCGATAACAATGAACAACAATAAAGGCTTAAGAATTTTTTCTTTATTGTCTTTTCTCACATACTACTTTGAGGAGTTGTTGTTGTTGTTGTTATGTGCCGTCGAGTCGCCTGCGACTCATAGCGACCCTATGTACAACAGCCCTAAACTCCGCTCTGTCCTGTGCCAATCGCACTGTCTCTGACACTCCCATCCCGATTATCCCAGTCACTGAATCAATCCACCTCATAGAGGGTCTTCCTCTCCTGCGCTGTCCCTAATGTACTTTGAGGAGTAGAAGAACAAACTGTTTTTGGAGCTATTTCTTATCTTATTCTGTAAAATCTAACCAGATCTGAAAGCTAGACTGACTGGTATAAAAAACATAAAGTTCTACCCTTGTGATCCATCACAGAAAAGATTATCCTCATAAAATTCGTGAGTGGATGAATTCTTTTACTCCAAGGACTGCTCATTGATGTACTGGGATTTTGTGATTGTGAACAATAAAACACAAACTCAGAGCTGTAACTGATAGTTATTATTGTCTGGCAATATTTACTACAGAAGGAACATTTTCGTGGTTTCTTTATGTCTTTGTAGTATGATTTGAGCAAATTGAAAACAAAACAAGACAAAACACTCCAGAGTGTAAAATTTAGTTTCTCATTCCTAAATATCTCAGGACCTCAGTTCTTCGAGTGGTAGACAGTGAGTTCACTTTGTGTTAGAGTTAGTACTGAGTGAGCTACTGAGTTTACCAGACTGGCTTCTGCCTTCCAGGAACTAATAAACTAGAACGGGGTATAGACATGGGCTGTGTGGTAGCATACTGTGCTGTTGTCTGAAAGGTCACCAGCTTGGACCCACCAGCTGCTTATTGTCCTAAAGATTTAAAGCCTTGGGAACACAATGGCTGTCCACTGGGAGTCAGAATCAACTTGATGGCTGTGGGTTTGGTTTTTTTGCTAATACAGTTAGGTAAATGTAATTCTAGCATTATAAGCGTTTACACAGAAAGTGAAGAAGGTTGTTGTTGCCACTGAGTCGGAACTGCCTCATGACCGACCGTCCAGGGGATTTTCAGAGGCTGTAAATCACACAGGAGGAGACTGATTGCCCGCCTCTCCTTAGGAGCAGATGGTAGATTCAAATGGCCTGCCTTCCAGTCACTTCCCTGCTCTCTAGTGTTGCTGTGTACGGGAGAGTCGACACTTGCCCACAGCCGACCCTCCAGCAGCTTTTCAGAGACCGTGAACTGCGTGAGAATTGATTGTCATTCTTCTGCTGAGCAGCTGGTGTATTCCAACTGCATGCCTTCGGGTTGGCAGCACAAATTTCCTACTCCTAAGCCACCAGGACTCTCTAACCTCTGTACTGAGACGTGAGGGGGAAATAGCACTTAACCCAACAATGCACCACAGCCCTGTTGTTGATTCCTGAGCCAGCAGTGTCACAGCGTGACTCACGCATAGGTCCCAGGGACCCACCACCCCACCGCTACTCACCAGTCTACCTCAATGCCCTAAAGTGAAGGTTTACTTTACAAGGAACACTTTTGGACTTAAGAGATTCAGTTCTAGGTTTTTCTGCTTTGAAGTTGTTTTTTTGTTTCTACCATTTCTTGAAGAAAAAAAAAAGGACTCAAATATTCGAGTCAAGTTTCTGCTCAGTTTATTCTGGATGCAAACCGTTAGGCTCCGATGACCAGGTAAACAGATGATTGGGTTTAGGAGCTGGGTGGAAGCCAGGGGTGTGTACACAGGCAGTGACCAGAGGCCTGCTGGCTGTGCTGGGCGTGTGGTGGGGCTCGGGGGTCACAATCCTCTCTCTCTCTCTCCCCCCAGCTCTCTGCGCCATCGTTGCCACCATCTGGTTCCCCGTGTGCGCCCACCGTGAGACCACCATCGTCAGCTTCGGCTACTCCCTGTACGCGGGCTGGATCGGAGCTGTGCTGTGCCTGGTGGGAGGCTGTGTCATCGTCTGCTGCTCTGGGGACGCCCAGTCATTTGGGGAAAATCGTTTCTACTACTCTTCAGGCTCCAGCTCCCCGACTCACGCTAAGAGTGCCCACGTCTAAACACGCTGCCCACTTGCCCACAGAGGTGCTGTCGATGCTGGGCCCCTGGCCCCAGGTTGGCTTGCCACAGTGGGGGGGAAGCCAACTCTCACGCCAGACCCCACAGCCAAAGGCTGGAGAGACACCCTGGCGTTTGGCTGGCCTAACCTCCCACCCCTTCTCATGTTTATTGCCTTTAAAGAAATACCTAGCTCATATCATGCCCACACATTTTTTATTTTGTCCTTACGGGTTTGTCCACTGTTAGCTCTTATCTTGGGCATTCCTTGATGGTTGGATTTTCCACCCCATTAAAATATATTTTGTTCCTTTGTCTTTAAATATTAAATGGCTTTCATTTAAAAGTGGGGGTTGTGGAGAGAAATAAAAGATACTTTCCAAATGGCTACAGCTGATAGTAGAGCTTCATGGGGACGCCTCTCTGTTCTGCCCTCCTCTTCGGCTCCAAGGTCACAGAGCCACAAAAAAAGATAAAAGTGGTGACATTGGGGTGGGAGTGGGAGGGGGGCAGGGGAATTTTTTCTCCATGGGAAATTTTCATTTTTTGTAAGTTGGAGGAAAGGGGCGGGGATATTTTTTAGTTTGCAGTTTTACACTTACATTAAAAATACTTGTTTCCAACATTGGTCAGTGTTATAACCATGGTTTTCCTGAAATCCTCAATTCATCAGTATGAAGGAAATGAACCAAATAGACATTAATTATGCAATGAATAACAGTTCAAGTGCAAATAGCTTTAACTGACAATGCCACAATTATTATTCACTTTTTTTTTAAATTTCTGATTTATATCAATGTAGTTTTACACTTACATGTGTTTCTTGTGTAACACATCATTAATGCTCTTTTTTTTCCACTTTTCTCTTTATTCTTCTAGCCGTCTTGACGGGATCTTGTTTAACATAAATTGTACTGTTGAATTTGGCTTTACGGGTGCAAACGCTGATGGTCTATCAGCATCAGAGACCCATGCCCTCCAAACCCTGATGGTGCCTTTTATCTTCTAAGAGAAATCTGTACAATAAAGTAACTACAAAATTGGCCTGCAAGCTTCTGTTGTCTTCAGAGGTAGCTTCCGGTGATTGTGAAAAATGTCATTAACTTCTCTACTGGTAACTTATGGGGAATTTGGTCATACACAAGCCATCCTGCACGGTTCTGAATAATTAAAAGATTCTCTTTTATCACTACAGTATGGCAATAATTTGTGGTTATACAAGGGCAACCTAGATGCACTCTGGGTATCTTCCCAAGGGGTGTGCTTTGGGGTTTGTGTGTCATGTAAAATAATGTTGTTGTTGATTGCCTTCGAGTTGAGCATGACTCATAGCTGCAACCTGGAGTTGCTCTGATACTCAACACTATCCCACAGTCACGTCAAATACCATAATGGTTACCCATTATATACAATGTTGGATGAGCTTCTAGAATGATTTATGCTGGGGAGCAGGAGTGGCATCCACTTCCTAAACTAGGTGCCTCTGGAAACTCTACAAACTCTCTTATAAATGTACGGAAAAGATGTTAATCATAGAAAAATGTTCAGGTCTTTTGTGCAAAGTTTACTTTGAGTCATATTCGACTCAACAACACTTAACTGCTGCTAAATGATACTAGTGCTGTTATATCTGGAGGAACATTCTTCTTTCCTTCCTTCCTTCCTTCCTTCCTTCCTTCCTTCCTTCCTTCCCCTCATTCATTCATTCATTCTTTGCACATTACTCTTTGTCAATGTGCTGTATGAGGTAACCTGTGATGCTGAACCTTGTGCCATGGGGATATCAGATATCAGAATTGTTTCTCATTGTGGACAGTGTTTGGTGGAGCTCCCAGTTGAAAAACAGGTTTGGAAGCAGGAGTGGCATCCACTTCCTAAATCACATGCCTCTGGAAACTCTATGAACTTGGAGAAACAAAGACAGCTATGGAAAGGCATTAGGTCTTTTGTTCATTGACTCATTATGAGTCAGCCTCGACTTGAGGGCAATCAACAACAACAACATGGTGATCCTGTGAACAAAAGTCCTGAAGCCCCTCTAGAACTATCGACATTTATCAAAGTTCATAGAGTTCCCAGAGGCATGTTGTTTAGGAAGTGGATGCCACCCTATCAGCACCAAGTTTCCAGAATGAGAGAGCATAACTCCTTCATCTCTTTTGAACATTTAGTAAAGGAATTGTCTAGGTGTCGAGGAACATAGAAAACAAATCTGTTTTATTGTCTCTTTAAGTAATGATATTTAGATGCATTTAGATCAAACATATGTATGGAGATATTTGGAAATGCTGATAACACAAACTTAGTTGATTTTTACATGATTTCTATTCCATAAATTGCCCGGTTATGGTTCTGCTTTGAGAAAACAGAATCTATTTTGGCAGCTTTTTTTTTCCAAATAAAATATTAATTTCATTAGCTGATAGAAGAATAATTGAAAAACATTTCCTCTTTGGAAATATCCATTTGGGTAGTTGTTTTGCAGGCATCTGTAGACATAAGAAGAGTATATCTAAGTGGAAACTTTTTCTAAATGGATTTTATAGAAGAGACTACTCTCATATTGACCAAATATTTGCTTGGCTCTGCTACAGTTTAGGTAGGGACACCAAAGGATGTGGGATTGCATTGGACGTTTCACCCTGCACTCTGAGAACTTGACACGGTGAAGTGATTATAAACATGAACGAAGCAGAAGGCGTTCTGGGGCTGAAGGGGAGGCAGGCTTTGTTGCTACTGTTACATGCCATCAACTTGACAATGACTCCTAGCAGCCCTGTGAATAGCATATTGGAACCTTGCCCCATCTACAACCTTCCTCAACATCTTGGACACATTCAATCCCATTATTACACCCACTGTCAGTTCTTTTTGTTGAGAATCTTCCTCTCTTTCTCTGACTCTCAATTTTCCCCAACATCATGTTCCTCTCCCCAACCCTCAAGCACTGACTCCTCTGACAGCACCCCCAGAGTATGTGAGATTAAGTCTCACCGCCTTTACCTCTGAAGAGTACCCCAGCTTCCATTTCCCCCGAGGTAGACTTGCTTGTTCTTTCGGCAGTCCATTCTCCAGCACGCTTTCCAAGAATCTGATGGAAACCAAGTTAGAGAAATCACTCCCGGGGACTTGTCTTCATCTCGGGGTGCCAGCTAGTTACACGGATAGTAACAAAGGGAGAAGATTGTGTTCGCCGAGAAGACAAGCTGCGTATTTGTGCTGAGCTGGTGGTTTGGGCCACAGGAGAACAAGGTTCGGTTGTATCTTGCCCTGTGTTTCTTTTCTTTCTTTCTCTTTTTAATCTGTGTGCCAGTGTTTTCCTATACAATGTACACAATGTGAACAGCAGCATCTTAAATGTTTGGCAGGACATTCATGCTCATGACATCACATGCTGGGAGGACAGGGAGGCCACTGTGGCCCTGGCCCTGGGCAGAGGGAAGCATGAGGGTGGCCATTGAGAGGGCCCCACAAAAGAGTGTGTGACAGCCAGATGTGCGGCCCAATGAAGACTGAGCCCGGATTGTGGGGCGAACATCAGCACATGCTGCCAATGGCTTGAATAGCAGCTCTTGAGGAATTTCTATTTCTCTACCTCACACAGTAAACTCAGAGGCCTGGCTTTGTGGCCCGGCGGCCGGGGAGGGTGTGGAGACGGAGGGACTTGACACTACTCCGTGCCACATCTTCATTATGGAGAATGTTCTGGCATTTATAAGGGATTGTGGAAGGTGAGGGACGCCCACCCATCCCAGTCATATGACCTTTCAAGCAGTAAAGAGAATACAATTGTCTTTTCTGGAACTTTCTTTACTTCAAATGCCCATTTGTCTTGAATTATGTGGAATCGTGCTACTCAGACTGTAATGCACACAGATTGCCTGGAAATCCTTGAAATCCAGATGCTGTTTGGGGAGGCCTGGGTGAGGACACAGGTTTTTTGCATTTCTGATGTGTGCCCAGGGCATTTTAAATATGCTGATCCTAGACACAATCTCAAACAGCAAGTCTTGGAGGCGAGGGGCATTCCTCGGTAACCAAAAGGGTGGAGTTTTAAATTCACTCAGAAATAAGGGGAAGAAAGGTCTGAAAAATCCACCGTTGACAACTCTAAGAGCAGGAGTACACCTTCCTCTCACCTCAGATCACCACCAGTCGGCGGTGACTTCTGGACAATTACATTTTTCTTTTCTCATTTTTTTCTGAGGACTGTGTCACTATATATGTATTCGAAATAGATATAGATATTGTTGTTGATTTTAGAGACGACTCATAGCGACCCTATGAACGAAAGACCTGAACACTTGTATTAATGTCATCGTTTCTCCAAGTTCATAGGGTTTCTGGAGGCAAGCTATTTTGGAAGTGGGTGCCACTCCTGCTTCCAAGCTTGTTTTACTTGGGGAGCTCCACCAAACACAGTCCACCATGGGTAACCATTCTCACATTTGACACATCGGTGTCACAGTGTTCAGCATCACAGCAACCACGAGTTACCTCTGTACAGCAAGTGGACAGACGAGGGCTATACCACTTAGAAGAATGTTTGACCCAAACCAATTAAAACCAGGCCTGAGGGCCACAGATTAAAATCACTCACCTTTGGCTTGGGAGCATCACTTTCTGTCCACTAGGCCAACTGAGTGCTCTCTACGTTGTTGCTGCTGTGGTTAACGATTTCTGAAAACCCGCTGAAGGGTCAGGTTTGGGTTGGTTCTGACTTGATGGCAAACAACAACAACAGCAACGACAACGACAAAACAGCAGGATAGTTTTCCTCTTAGCATTAGAGACAAGGATGACGGCGACATCTCACTTACTTTGGTCATGTTTTCAGGATGAACCTGTCCTTAGAGATATCAAGCTGGGAAAGGCGTCTTAACAAGATGAAGACCCACAGATAGATGGGTCGACATGGTAACTAACAGAATGGGTTTGCGCATCGCAGAGATTGTGAGGACGGCGTGGGAAGGGGCACAGTTCAGATCTGTGCTTCATAGGG